GTGTGAGGCCGCGGGAAAATTTGAAACCAGCTTAGACCGATATAGCACATATTTGCAAAATTCTTGCGGCAGCATGTTCGCAAAGAAAAACTGCACATATCTTTTTTTAAAAATTTTTGAACCTCAGGAATGTTTACTGGCCCTTTAATAGTTGAGGATAACAGTGAAGGCACGACTGGGAAGGCTGAATTGAGTTCAAACACAAGAGCAGAGGTACAATGTTTTTTTTTTTTTTTTTTTGTAGCCGTAAAAGGCACAAAACTTTCTCTGACTGTCGAGGTAAGCCGAAGCAAGTATATTGCACCAACTGCCACAAATGGGGACATGATTTCAAGGGCTGTCAGAAAAGTAATAGCATTTCGAAGTCAAATACATCTTGTTTGATGTTACCCAAAAACGAGACTGGTTCACAACAATCCATGATTGATAGCGACGACTCGAACCAAGATGACAGTGTTACGGGCACAGTGAAGACGCAAACGCAATGTAACAAACGTCCCATGCCGGTGTTACCAGGTGAAGTGAATGGACAAATTATTAGAGTCCTAAGGGACACCTGAAGCAACACGTTAGTTATACGCCAGTCATTTGTACCTGATGAAGCACTGACTGGCACTACCACTACGTTGTGGCTGGCTGATGGCAGCACCAGTGTTGTCCTTGAGGCGAAGATACGTATCAGATCTCCATACTATTCGGGCACTGCCATTGTTAAGTGTATGACGTTGCCACTATACGAAGTCATAGTCGGAAACGTACCGGGTTCCCGTGATGCCAATTACCCCGGCGTTTCGTGAAAACTTTCTTCTCGGGATCAATTCAGTAAGAAAGACGTTCATTCTGCAGACGAAGGGAACCGACCAAATTCTCTATTCGTTGGTGTCACAGGTCTCAAGAGTTTGCGAAGGGCTACACCTGCTAAACTCCCTGGGCAGATGTCTCGCAAAGATTTTTGCCAAGAACAAAAATAAGACCAGACATTTGACACCTGCAGAGCCAGAGTGGGCAAGAGGTTTGTTGGAAAAGGCTCAACATCATTTTCTTTCTTTGTCAAGAAGGGTATTCTTTACCGGCAGTACTTCCTGTCTTCTGGTAGGAGCATTCAAAAGGCCATAGATCCAAAGTCCCTGAGAGGTCAAGTGTTACGTTTGGCTCATGAGAATGTCATGTGGGGTCATCAGGGTGTAAAAAAAAAAAAAACGATAGAGTTCTGGACGCATTCTAGTGTCCTGGAGTACAAAAAGATATCCGCAGATACGTCCAATCATGTGACGCCTGTCAAAGGACTTTCCCAAAAGGCAAGGTGGGCGAGGTACCTCTAGGTCGTATGCCGATGATCGACGCCCCTTTTAAACGTGTGGTGGTCGACATCATTGGACCAATAACTCCAGCTTTGGCAAAAGGTTATCTGTATATTTTGACTCTTGTGGATTTCGCCAGACGCTACCCTGATGCAGTGCCTTTGACAGCAATTGACTCAGCTGCAGTGGCCGAGGGACTTATAGAGATGTTTTCTCGCATTTGTTTCCCACGAGAAGTCTTATCTGATCAAGCATCGTGCTTTACCTCAAATGTAATGAAAGAGGTGGATGAAGTATTGGCTGTCAAGCATCTTAGCTTCACTTCTTACCATCCTATCTGCAACGGGATGGTATAGAGGTTTAACTGAACACTCAAGGAAATGCTCTGTAATATGGTCCAGGAACAGCCCAAATGTTGGGATTGCTTGCTAGCACCTCTTTTGTTCGCTTATCGTGAAGCCTTACAGGCAAAAGCTCCGGGTTCTCACAGATTGAACTTGTTTATGGCCAGCATTTTCAAGTAACTCTGAGTATATTGAGAGAGCTTTGAATGGACGAACAGGGAAACTAAAAGCTTGAGACGACGTACGGATATGTCTTGGATCTAGGGGAACGGATTGAGAAGACACTCGAGCTAGGCTAGCAAGACAAAATCTGAGCCGTGCACAGGTGTTGCAAAAGAGGTATTACGACCGCCGCAGCAAGCAACGTCCACTGAAAGCTGGTGACCGTGCATTGATCTTGTTTCCCACAAGTAACAAGTTATTATTGCATTGGAAGAAACCGTTTCCAGTAAATAGTAAGAAAAATGATTATGACTACTGGCTAGACCTAGGACACAGCAGAAAACTTTTCCACGTTAATATGCTGAAGAAATATGAAGAATGCCGCCAAGAAGAACTTCCCCGGGCATCATCTTTTGCGGTCAGGGAGAAAAGGAAGTCTGAGAAGCTGCTACCCAACTTTAAGATCTAAGACCAGATACGTTGCTATTTTGGAAAAGCACAGCGGTTCACTGAGAATATAGCAAGTTGGAGAAGAACACCACCATGGGCATGAAGACGAGAGAAGTGCTTCGATCGCTCAAGACAGTGTTGTTGTTCGGAGCCACAGTCAAGGCACTTGATCTTAAAAGGAAATTTTTCCTTCGGTCCGAGGCCTCTGAGTATTCTATGTGCGCTATTTTTTTCAAGAAAATAATTGCTTTCTTCAACCTGTGTCGTATGCCTGCCGTTAACTTTAGCCTCGCGAAAAAGATACTACGCACAGTCGAACGGCAATGCTTAGCGTTGGCTTGTATGTTTCGTACATTTGTTACGTATGTTTTGTACATGGACGACACTTAGTGATTGGTCGCGCACTGGACTGCAGTTTATTTTTATTTGAAAAACAAGCTTTTCAAAAGGGGGACTCTTGTAATGAGTGAAGTGCACGAGTGAATTGATTTTTAAAATTGGTGTGGCAAGATGACGAAGGCGGGCTACTGGCAATGTGTTACCTGCGCTAGCGCGGCGAACACTGGCGAATGAAAAAGAAAAACTTAAGAAAACTGAAGACCGAATCCAGAGCCACTGCGCAGGAGAAGACTGAAGAAGAATCATGCGGGTGGTGGAAAGAGCACAGCTAAGGTGCGGTGTGCGAGCTCATCAGGCGCAGGTACCTGGGCAACAAGGCATCCACCTAGCCAGGTCGACAATTGGCAAGTTTCTGGCACGGCCTGGTTCTGATGTTTGAGCAGAAGACTGCGCCGCAGATGACGTCGCCTACTGGGAGCGGGAGCGAGCCGTCGGGCTACGGGCCCGAGCTTGTGCACTCCCACCACGGTGGCTTGCTTACTGGAGTGTTGATGGGCGTGAACCGCTGGTGGGCCGTATTTGTCTCTTTGCGCGTCCGGACTCCAATACAAGAACACTAATGGCTGTATACTCAAACTACTGTTTAGAGTGGTATAGGGTTCCCCTCATTAACGAGAACTGTGTCGATATTCTGTCTGACTATGCTTGTCAGTTTACCTTTTGTTGATTCTATCATTCCCTTTTCGTTTTTTTTTTTGTGTGAGCAAATTTTTTTTTCATGCAAATTAAACATTCATTTTCTTCTCTTGTCAGAGAATAGCGTTTCACTGCTAGCTCGACTGGCTTTATTTACCGAACCTGTCCCAGCCTTATCGCTCTCAAACTTACCAAGCGATCGGCGCCACCGTCCTGGGCGGTGTCACGACGCCTCTGCGTCGAGCCTTAAAACAAGACAGCAAGGATGCCTGGCTCTCTGAGTCCAAAGAGATGAAAGAAGCTATTTACAGAAAATCGGATCACCCACGAGGCTTCTACACTCACTCGCTTTGGGCTTGGCCTACAATCAACGTGCTCTAAGCTTTGCTCACCCCAGGATGCAGCCCGCATGGCTCTCGTCCAAACCGAACAACGTTCTTGAAAACCAACCACAACAACAAAAAAACTCACTTGCTAGCAGAAAAAAAAAAACTCAACGTGCCGACAAGTTTAAACACGATACAACCAATCTCCTCGCTCTCAACGAAGCACACCGCCGACACTAGCAATGGAAGTGCCCCTAGGCCTACTCTTCTCCGACTAAAAAAAAAAAAAAAAAGGTTGTTACGAACCGTGAACACTTTCGTCCGATGCTCCAAGAGCTCCATGTTTGGCGCCAGTGTGGGGTCACAGCAGACGCGGTCTGAACGAAGCAAGCGAACCAACACATTTATTTAACTGCTTTTAGAACGACGATATCGTCAGCCGAATCAAAATACATAAATTGTGCTCAAACATGCTAAAGATCCTTACACAATATTACACCACACTCAACAACATGACAAACACAAGGCGGTGTCGCCAACGCCTGACTCACCACAAGGGCCCCCGGCAGACGGGCCCGCGGTGCCGTTTATCGGAGTCCCACTGCAAGAGATAACCGTTCGTGCCAAACGCCACCAGTCAGAATAGACTCACTCAACTCTGTCATGCCACCACAAAGGCTTGCTGCTAGGGGTCACCGCCGGCGCTACCGATCTAACCATAATGATAGTGGTGATCAGCGCTCGCAAACACGTCACCTACCGCTCAATCGTTGTTACCCCGAAATAGGGCTTCTGCACGAGACCTGTGCGCCACGCGGTGGAAACAACTCTACAAGAGGTGTCACCACCCTCACACCTCTAGATATAGACCTTCAGGCTGTTGTTTAGCTTGGGAACACTAGGTCAAGCTTAGGACACTGAATGTTGTCTAAGGCTTGATGTATGTGTTTGCAATGTCTGTTTCACTTCATGCAAAACGCTAGGTGGTGCTGACTTCAAGCATCGGTACCACGTGGTGGTTTTTACACTACCTAAACACATGTCGTTAACTCTGCGTGAGGAAAGAAGTTTCATATATCCGATATATGGAAGACACCAGAGTTTTTTTTTTTTTACTTAAATGAGGGTCCATGTTATTCAAGCTACAAGCCTAATAAACAAGTTTCCGTGCCTTTTGCCTTACGTCCTTGAAAGCGCTAAAAATAGGCTGTGTAAAAAGACTATGCAGTGATTTAAACTACAAACACTCATTGCATATGAGGGCATTTGAAGAAAAAAAATTATTTTTCTTGCACTAGTTGGTAGTTTCAGTCTCTGCACTTTGCTTTTGCTCAGAGATGATTTTTGGCTAGGCTGTGACTGTAGCCCTTGCTTTCCTACAGGCTAGGTGAGCTCGCCCTGGATGTGTTGGACGCGTGTGGTGGACCTCGCAGTCCTGGCAGTGGCACAGGCCGGCCCTCTCCCGGCGTGGTCTCCTCGCCGAAGAAGAGTGGCTCTTCTGGCAGTGCCATCATGAATGCGTCTTCGTCTTCCACTGGCATGCTTGTGTCTTCTGTTGCCAGCTTGACATTGAGCTCCTCAAAGAGTCACCATCGGGGTGAGGAAGGCTGGAAAGAAGTTGTACGGCGTTCCAAGAAGGTGACTGTGCCCTCGGCGGCTATCAGCCGGGTGATCGGGCGCTGCGGTTGCAACATTAATGCTATCCGCGAGTCCTCTGGTGCCCACATTGAAGTAGAGAAGCAGAAGGGCCAGGGAGAGCGTACCATCTTGATCCGGCAAGTGCTCCTTTCTATTTTCTATGCATATTTACTTAAATGTCAAATCACTAGGGAGGCTCATTATTACATTAAGTGTCACGTAAAACCCAGCAAACGCCTTCAAAAATTGATGACTTCACAGTGTTTGGTGCGGGAATCTCAGGGATTAAGAGGCACTGGGTTATGCTCTATATGTGGCTTGCGTGGAAGGCATGCTTTGTTTATAAGCCGATACAGGGTGTGTACAGATCCTCGAACCCTCTGAAGACCTTTGATATGAAGAAGCACGCCTGCAAGGCCTGTAAATATTCTAGCATTGATTCCTCTGAAAATACTTAAATACTGTTAGTGGAGCTCATACGAAAAAAATACACACTACACTCTCCAGCCACTATCAAAGTTTCTAAAGCTAAAATTCAAGAACTCTAAGATGACCCGATGTTTCAGGACCGACTTGGTCCCTTCTGAAAAATAGCAAAATTTCGGGTATGAAGCATTTTTTGTACTTGCTGTTGAGCATGATGTACTTGAAAAAATCTGGCACTGTGGCCACAGACAGCCCGATCAAGCTTACTGCTTGGAGTTGTGGGGACGTCTAACTCCACTCACAACATAATTATACTTTAAGGGTGAAAACATCTGTCATGCAGACATACGAAAGGTAAGAGGCTGCATTGTGATTCGTTGCAAGGAATGAATCTCATAGCCTGCTGGCTCCTTTGAACTGCGGATGTACATTTTGCTTATCCGCGGTAACAGTCACCGTTGCTCTATGGGCTTGTGCTTGTTCCAACAGCTGACGCTACAGCAAGGTTCTTTCTGTTTCAGCTGATATTTCCATCAATAGAAATGCTGTAGTAAGCTATGTCATGACATAATCACATTAGTGTAACATAAACACAAAAAAGGGCAATTAAAGTAAAAAATAAAACTGCACAATTTGATTGTCTTCGCTTTGAAATCATGGTAGTCATCTCTCTCACCCGCATAAAAAAAAAAACATAAGGCAGTTACAAATGCTTCTGGCAAAAGCTGCTTGCTGCTGCTGAATAATTGTTGCAAACTCGCGCCTCCTCCCTGTGGGGATCTAAGGCGACCATTTCGTGGGTATTCCGCCGTACAGCCGCTCCTTTTCTGTGCTTTGATAGCAGCGCGTATCAATAGATGGCGCCACGCGCAGGCACGTCGCATGTTCTCGGTGGTTGCGAAAATCGGCGAGGCCGAGTCATGTGCGCGCCGGAAAGGGTATCACGTTGGCAGTGTAGGGACCTCACTACTCACCGTAGCGGATGATCACCGCAGGCTCAGACTTCGCGAGCCACAGGGCTGCGTCTCCGTCACCTACTCACGTGTAGTGCACTCAACTAACAAAGTGTGTAGCGTGGCACGGCAAAACAGACAGTGTTTGATTAACAGCAGTACATGAACACTTTATTGCCTTTGGCCGCACCCCGAACAACAGTACGTCCGCTCCCAGAATGCGGAGAACAAAGGCTCCCGCACGTGCACGTTCACAATAAGGGGAAATCGAGAGCATGTTGCAGCTGGCAATGGCGAGCTTTGGCACGCCGGTCGGGAAAAGATGCCTCGCGGCTATGCTGCTCACTCTCACGATGGCGACTGAGGCTGGTCGCGAGAATTGGGGCAAACCTCGTACACGTAGGCCTACGACTAGTGCGGCTTGGCGTGGTGCGACCACTTCAAACACCAGGCATCGCTGTCGGCTTAGTGTACGGTACCGAAGCTGGCACTCAAGTAAACATGCCTGCCGGGAATGCCTATTCGCGGGGCGCGTTTTGAGGGACCCGATCATCGGAGGTGTGTGTACATGCGTGGTGCTTCTGTGCATCAACGCCAACTTAGGAAGGCACCGACCCCTACACCACCTTGGGCTCTGGAGGTGTTCGGTAATCCGCAGTCGTCAGGCAGCTCGGCTGTGCCCTGCTCCCTGCCGTCGCTGAGAAGCTCTGCTGGCCTTTCCATTACGGCTCCTGCGCAAGGCCAACTGTTGCAGACTCTGTGCATCACCCTCTACCAACACCAGGACGCCTCGCAGCCAGTTGGTTTGGCAACCATGATTTCAGCAGAAGGGCCGGCTGTTGCAGCGAGATCCATCCGAACCACCACCGATGCGGCGTTCGTCACATGAGGGCCTCAACCAGTCCTCTCACCTTGCACTCCCCGCAGGGGCGCCTGCGCAAGTAGGCGTTTGGTGTGTAGCGACACCACGGACCCGAGCTAACGGGGGAGTTTCTACTCCCTCCCACACCTAGCCGTGCGTGGCTTTGCCGTGTCTGGGGAAAAGGGGATCCTGGGGGTTGAGCCGACGCTGGGTGATTGGACCGTTAAGGCAGAGGCAACACACCGCTTTGGCCCCGGCTTCACGTAGACGGCACCACTGGGCTGACCCACCCAGGCGAAATCGGCAGTCGCCTTTTCCTATCTCTCTTTCTCCCTACATCTTCGTCTTTTGTTCTCACTTTACATCTTTCCTGTTCTCTCCTCTCTTCAATTTACTTCTGTTTTTCCTGGCGGCAAGGGTTAACCTTGTGTGGCTATCCAAACTAGGGTAAACCATATTGGGTTATAGTAACTGCGTACTGCTGGCGTTGCACAGACATGCCCACATGCTCTGCCACGTCCCCTTGTTGGACTCCGTGGTGGGTGGTAGGCGCCGTTACCGAAAAATACTCATTTTCCCATGGGATCCTCGACCCCCTCTCTAACTGATCGTGCCTCGAAAAGGGTACGCACCGACGCAACTTCACTACTTTGGCCGAAAAACAGAGAAACTTTCCCAAAATACCATGTCCTCCACTGCGAACAATCATCTACAAAAGCTAGAGCGATCTCGCCCTTCCTTGTGGCCAAGTGTTTGAGAGAGACCATTGGAACCGGCTATAAGGCCACGAAGATGGCAAGTGGAGATCTGCTTCTCGAATTAAAAGACAAGGAACAGTACAATAAACTCTCGCACCTTGTAGCCTTCGGTAACATCCCCATCTCTGTGAGCGCACATCGTACCATGAATACAGTGAAGGGCGTGGTATCGGACGAAGATTTGATGACACTGAGTGAAAAAGAGCTTCTTGATGGATGGAAGGACCAAGGTGTAATACATGTCCAGCGCATCAAAATCAGATGTAACAACAACGAAATAGCAACAATGCACTTAATACTCACCTTTAACTCAACCACTTTACCTGAGACTCTCGAAACTGGTTATATAAAACTCCATGTCCGACCCTTCATTCCAAACCCGAGGCGTTGTTTCAAATGCCAGCGATTCGGTCATGCATCCCAGAGCTGCCGAGGGCAGCTGATCTGTGCTAAGTGTGGCACAACCGGCCACAGTGCTGATGAATGTAGCCATGATGAGGTCCTCTGTGCTAACTGCGAAGGTAGTCACCCCGCATACTCCAGAGCGTGCCCAGCCTGGAAAAAAGAAAAAGAAATAATAGCTATAAAAGTAAAGGAAAATATCACATTTAAGGAAGCAAGACAACGGATGTCGTTAACATTGGCACTAAAAACGCCTTTCGCCGAAGTGGTGCAACGAGGGGCGGCACCACAAAGGCCCTTGGCAGTTGCCCGGACCGCGCCTAGCGTGCCGAGGCCAACGCCACAAGCCCCTACGGCGGGAGCAGCCAGCGCTGCCCTGCCCACATTCAGCCTGTCCACACCAGTGACCTCTACAAGCTCTGGCAGCAGCCAGGGCAATCACGAGGCCAAGGGGGCTTTATCGACTCCCGGCTCGGTGGGGACAAAGACTTCGTCGATCGAGGCGAAGTCTAAGTGACGCACAGATCGCTCTGTAGAGCGGGCGTCCAGTGCCTCGCAAGAGGCTATGGACACCAGTTCAAGCCAAACGGCGCATGAAGCGTCGAAGGAGCGGCGAGCTTCTCTCGACCGCCCTAAAAAGGACAGAACGCCGATTACAGGGCCTGACAAAGGCCCTGTAAAATGAGCTAATCTCCGTCTTTTCTGCACACAGCACTTCTTCCTCTTTTTTTTTTTTTTTTTTTCCGTCCACTATGGGCAACATCATACAGTGGAACGTGAGGGGAATACTTAGAAATTTAGATGACGTCTAAGAACTTCTGAGTAAGTTCAACGTGAAAGTGCTATGTGTGCAAGAAACGCACTTAACTCCTAAGCACAAGGACTTCCTATGACAATGTATTATTTTCCGAAAAGACCGGGAGGATTCTGTCGTACCATCTGGCGGTGTAGCCATTATAGCTGATCGTAGTATAGCATGCCAGCATTTGAAGCTCCAAACGGCCCTTGAGGCAGTGGCCATTCGAGCTGTACTTTTTAACAAACTCATTACCATATGTTCTGTGTACATACCACCGCATCAACAGCTACACAGACGTGATCTAGAATCATTAATAGATGAACTCCCAGAGCCGTTTCTGGTTCTAGGTGATTTTAATGCACACAATATCCTGTGGGGCGATGCTCACTGTGATGCGCGAGGACGTCTTATTGAGCAGCTCCTTTTCTCTTCTAGTTTATGTCTTTTAAATATAAAGGAGCCTACGTATTTTAGCCTTGCAAACAACACATACTCCTCCATAGATCTTAGCATTTCATCACCGTCCCTTTTACCTGTTTTTAAGTGGAACGTTCTTAAAAACCCTTATGGGAGTGATCACTTCCCAATCATCCTGAGTGCGGCAAACAAAGATCCACTACCCCCGCAGGTTCCTCGATGGAAGATTGACTCAGGTGATTGGGAAGGGTATAGAACTCTTACACACATGACATGGACTGAGCTGTCTGCCCTGACCATAGATGACGCTGTCACATATTTTACAGCTGTTACACTTGATGCCGCATCTAAATGTATTGCCAAAACGAGTGGCATGTCTTCTAAACGGCGAGTCCCATGGTGGAACGACGCATGCAGGAAAGCACGGACCACTCAGAACAAAGCATGGGCGTTGCTTCGCGATTCCCCTACAGCAGAAAACCTGGAAAATTTCAAGCGGGTCAAATCGCAGGCAAGGAGA